AGAAATTTTTTTCAGTGTAGTTACTTTATACATAGACATAGTAATACTCGACCGAGCATGAGACTTGAGGCTCAGGTAGAAAAGGATAGAAAGTAGGTGCCGCGTTAACCTTTCTCCTTTTATTCTTCTTGTTAGAGAGAGAGAGAAAGGTGGACGGCATCTACTTTCTGTCCTTTTCTACCTAACCCGCATTGCTTAAAAGAGACCGTGCTCGGTCCAGTATTACTATGTCTATGACTTTATATATATTTTAAGCCTCCACAGATTGCATCAGACCTTGCATTTGCGCATAAACGCCTTTATCAGCGCTTTACAATTCAAATGCAGATGTTTGATATTTTCATTTTCATTGCAAGAAAGTAACTGCAAAGTAACGACTCGTTACTTTTTGAGCAACTGTAACTGTAACGCGTTACTTGTCACAATTGGTAACTTGTAACTGTAACTAGTTACAGTTTTTTAGCGAAAGAAACTGTAACTGTAACTAGATACTTTTATAAAGAAGCTTTCCCAAGCCTGCGTAACTGTAAATCTCCATTTCTTCACACTCAAATTTAAGTTAAAAGTACAGCGATAAAATATGCTGTAAAAGAATATACTCCTTGAATTCTAAGAAATTTAAAAAAAAAGGAAAAAGAAATGTAAGTGTCGATTGAAGATGAAAATAAAATTGCAGGAATTATTTTATCAGGAATTATGTGTGAATCCCCTTTTTATACTCGGTATCTTAATTGCGCGTAAGACGAGCAACAAAAGATGATGACGTATGTTCTGTTCCTGTTTATACTTATCTAAAGTACCATCATGTTCTCTGTACACTTGAAGAGAAACGTTAATATTCCGATAACGTGCTTTCACGAAATATATCAAATATCTTTGTCTTAGACCCTTCTCTTCCAGGCAGATGAACGTCCTCCAGATAAGGGCTTACACGAAGTCGGCTCTTCTGGCTTGTTATTCCGTGCCTTCGCTTTACTTGAATCTCTCTTCGCTCAGTCTTGTAAAATGTTGTCAAATTGTATGATGAAAACCGTGGATCCTCCTGACATTTTCGCAAATTGGATTTTTATCTCAAATCTCGTTTAGCCTTTTGGATTTAGTATTCTCTAACACATGTGTTATTCACAAATTATCATACTATTGGTACAAAAAACTTGAAACAATCGAAAATATAGGTGCGCTTACGTGCAAGAGATGTGCATGAAAAGAATAGAGGTACGATATCATAATATCGATATAAAATAATTTATATATTTTTACGAATAAATGAACAATTAAATTTATTATTATAAATTAATATTTTGTATTATTAGAATACATTTAAACATTAATTTTGGATATATTAAAAGGATTAATGCGTATACGCATTATTGATGTATATATAACATAAATTGTAGAACGTCAGCAGCGAGCAGAAGCGAAATTATCAAACTGAAAGAGTTACAAAGACAAACAGCCACGCAGTTTTCATCCCTTTCATCGCTATCCTTCCACGTCCACCCTCCACGGCAGGACAAACGATTATATCGCGGTTGAACAAGAAAAAAGAGAAGAGAAATGTTACGGGGGCCTGTGTACCCCCTCATTTTTCGAGTGATTTCAAGTGTCCGTTCGCCGCCTACCTGCGACCTGACCCACCGAAACTACAAAACACACTTCTCTGTCTCTCCCTCTGATCCCCCCCCCCCTTCTTACTGAGATACAACTCGCCGCTCGAGACTCGATCCTCGACCCTCTTCACGGGACGTGATCGTGATCGAGCTTTACAGCCGTAATAGATTTAACAGTTTCCTTCGAAGGATTGGCTTAAGGAGAGGAGAGGAAAGAGGGAGACTTGCCGAAATTGAATAAGTTGCTTCCTCTTTTTGTTTTTATGCGGGTAATTCTTGTTTTAATTGTATCGGATTGAAAAAGCGGCCAACTTTTGGGACAATTCTACATTTTAGTGAATTATTCATGCAATTATATTATTATTATACAGTTTTATTATACGCTGGTAAGTGTAAAGTGGTTTTCCTCCTTTTTTCCTTTGGTTTTTGTCTTATTTATTTTCTAGCAAGGGATCGTTTTATGAACATAGATTTACTTACAATTATACTTCAAAAAGATTTCATGTTTTTTTTAAATTCTATTATCAAATCTTATTATCAAGTTTAATTATGAAAATATATGGCAAACGAAAAAATGATTTTTTGAAATTCACACACATTTATTTAGATGTTCTCATAATACGTGATGTCTAACAACGGAAAACGAGGAAAAGTGTATTTTCGTGTATCTTATCGGTACCCTTTTGACGTACTTAAAGAAACTCGAACGTTACAGTCTCAGCAGGTTGAAAAATCACCGCAACGTAATTGCCGAATTGCTGATTGGTAATCTGCTGCGGTGGGACTAATTAAGGCACTACCCGGGTCTCAAATGGGACGTCCAAATTGTTTTCTACGCTGTTCATCTCGTCCTCCCTTTTCCTCCCTACGCCACCGACTAGATAGCCTTGGGAAGACGGGATAAAAAGAGAGACCGGACGATATTTCGCGAACTAATGAGCTGACCCTTGCGGATTTTAACATAATCATCCTTATGATTTATAATAGAAGATCGTCCCTTCCCACACGCATTCTTTTCGCGATGTGTCGCGTCATTTCTACCTCTTCTGAATTCGCTGAAACATTCGCACAAGTTTATATACACTGAACATGGCGCGCGTGTATACAGAGAATCCCATTATCAGAGGACAAAATAACTTTTTTTTTGCTATTGTTACAGACGTATAATTTTAACTATAAATTATTCAAATTAAATTTTTAAAAAGAAACTCCTGAGAAATCTCTCGGAACATTCCTTATCGATCGTTTATCAGATTACAACTCGCGACGAAGCGGTACCTCGGTGGCAGTGACAACTGTTACCAGGGTAGAGTTGCGGTGAAGGAACGGAGAACAATACCTTCCTCCTCCACTTAAAATATCGTGGGGGGATTCAACTATAAATATAAGAAGAATCTTCGGGCCTTCTGGCCTTCAGAGCTTCAGTTGCCTTTAGCTTTAGTTGCTTTAAGCTTTAGCTGTTCAATTTATCCATTGATCCATTAATTCTTTAACAATCCATAAACTCACGACTCGACAAATAAGAGTTAAAACTAAAGCTGAGAATCGACTTGACTCGGACCTATATCCTAAATTGTTGATTCGAATTTCAAGAAGTTTTGGACTTTTGAGAATAAAGTCCAGAAGACTGATTAAAAGTAATTGATTCACACAATTGAGTCCAAATCCCCGGTAAAGCACTTAAATGTGTTGACCGAAAAACGGACGAAACTTTGACTTTGTCAGACCTTGACGGAACGTGACACTATACAGATCCTTTCTTAATTTCTCGAAAAATATTCAAGTTACAGGATCCTGCGTAGATACTCGTGTATAAAATATATTTAATATTATTTTAAATATCACTTTAAGTATTCCGACTCAAATTTTTCCTGCCATTTCAATTTTTTGTTATTTTGCGGAATTGCACGTTAAAAGATAAACGGCGTGTTTTAGTTCGTACCAGTAGATAAAGTCACGTTGGATACTTAATTCGCTTCCGCTTAGATCTCGCTTATTAATTGACTGAATGACTCGCATGATTAAACTGATTATTCCATTTATTTTCCTGTCGAAAGAACATTCAAGTTCTTTATGGACTTTTTGATCTCGTTGCATCTATATGTCTTATTAGCTTCGTTACGACTCTCGGTGTAATTAGTAATAAAATTAATTTTCTGTTCCCAAACGTTTAAGAACTCTTTTAAAAAAAAATAACGATACTTTTCAACATGTTCTTGTTAATTTTATGCCATTTGCCTGCGATACACATCACTAATTCGTGGCTAGGGAGAATGTCGGGGAAAAAGAATCGCTCTCATGGGATTTCCCGATCCTTCGAGAGGAGGACGAACCGCCTCGCCCGGCCATCTGTTGCGCACGAGAAATCGGAAAGCATTTTCCAGGATCAAGTCGACATATGGCACGCGGGCAGATTTATCGTGAAAGAGGGAAAAATACAGTGCTGTTGCGGGGCTCTGTCCGCCAAAAATGTTGAAAAGGTGGAGAGAGAGGAGGAAAACGACGATTACTCTCGATTTTATGGGAGGCTGGGTTAACATCAAAAGAGAAAAAACGAGCACAAGGCGAAGGGAAAAAGAACGAGAGAGCTGAAGCATTTCTGAATTTGTTACACAATCACGGCGCGTACATTAAGTAGTTGCTTTATCTTGAGTTTATTTACCACAAAGTAGATCTGCTATTTCGCACTGACGCAATCAATGTTACTGCAAGCGACGATATATCGATAAATATAAGTTTATTACTCATCGCGCGCAATAAAATACTAATTGAGGAAGTAATTAACACTTCTCTTGCTACACGCGCGTATTTATTCAACGCCGATTAATGACATCGTAAAGCCGCGGTATTCTGCTCCAGATTGCATTTTAGTTTATCGCGCCATTCCCTGCCGCATGTTTCACGAAATAT